CAGTTATTAGCAGTCAGTTCCTAGCAGTCAGTTCTACGACAATCAGTTCCCTGCGGTCAGTGTGGCGGCCAATTCTCAGGGATCGTCTGATCGGTTTGTACGGGYWAGAGTACTCRTGAGCAYAGTTCAGTCTGCTCCGGTCAGTGAGTCAGTACTGGCCAGCCTCAATAGGATCTCATGCAAAGAGGCATTCCATTATCGGTATGTTAGTGCCATTGGTTTCAGACAGGGAGATCTGTCAATCTTCATTGTCCAGACCAGTTTTGYTGATGGCACTATCCACGATCTGAGGCCTTACCTGAAGARGGGCAAKGAGACTCACGAGCTTTTWGATCCAGTCTRGATATCAGCCACTGAATACCTTGAGCAGAGAGAGAGGGAGCTCGATGAGAGTGGCACTAYGTTGATTCGCAGCTTTGGGCCRATGCTTTATACTGATTATCCTAGGCCTCCAGTCCCTTCACTTCTCACAGATGGCACGAGTTGGCTGGYTGTGATTGGATTGGCGAAGAGGTACATCTCTCCGRCGGTGATCGACRTTGAGGCGTTAACTGAACMTACCGAGTATCCCTACCTCRGACGAKGAGTCTTTTCAGTGGACGGGCTGCCTACATTGYGGGAGGAGTTTTGTTCCATGGTTAACTAYYGCGTCATGTGCCTTGGATGGTCATGTTCAGAGCTCGCTGGTTATAGGTGGCTTTTTGTCACGAAGCCTCAGTCTCAGATTGTACATGGGCGTGGGTCACGGCACCAGAGAAGATCAGTGAAAARAGATYGAGAGAGAGACTGACCAGAGGGATGAGTGAGGACTCTTGAGAGGTGYYGACYATGCTCGTTTACATGTACTCTCTGAGATTGTTATGAGTTCTCATTCTTCCCTCATTCAATTGCCCTTGTTTTTTTCGCTCGAGTCAGTCAGTYTTATTTTCTGCATTATTCTTGCTTGATGATTGCYTTCGTGAATGTTTTGCCACAGTTCTCAGAATCAGATTGACATAATTGATGCATGCATAGCTCCCCATAGTTTTATGATTATTATTTGCATGATTTTCTGCTGTTCCGAATCAAAATAAACGATTCCTAAGACCGGGGACCGGCGAAGACCGCAATTGAAGGGTCTCGCTCGAAGCCGGACGCACACAACAGGAAGGGATTTGCATTATTTAATTTATTTTATTTATTGCAATCACACATACAAAATCCTGCGTGACAGCCTGTTGGCTTTCCGGTCGCCCTAAGTGGCCCGACTAGGAAAAAGTGCGACAACGGGCCCTGCAGGGCCCGTCTCGGATTCTCATGGAATCAGACTCGGCTTATGCACACTTCGTCATCCATGCAAACAATGATACAGCAAACTGGAGACATGCGCCCACACAGTACTCAAAGATATCGTGCCCAGATAAGAGTTCTCTTCCAACTGGCTATGGCGACTGCGCGCCCACACAACTCACTGTTCGCACTCTGGATCACCCTGGATGTCCCACACGCAACACTYAGTCTCCATACGCAACACACACACACACTATGCTACAGCTATGGCAGCGCTAGCTGCCACTACCCTATCGCTACACTACACCTCTCTGCCCACTTCTTCTTCAGGCACACTGCAGACCTCCTCGCACAAGCTGCTGAGGCAGCGCTTCCGCATGGCATCCGCAGGAATGAATGAATGGATGGACGCAGCCTCTGATTTATACTTCTGCACTGCGTTGGTCTGCCCTCTATCCCCTTGGCCCATGATGTGCACAGTCCCAGACGGTACTTGCTTGACTGGACCGGACTGGGCTMCCTGGGACTGCTGACTGGGCTAGGTGGACTACCACCACTTGACCACTTGCCTCTGCTAAACACAGGCCAACTCCGAAAGGCCAGTTCTAGAACCCTTTACGCTGGCCCTTCGGTACTGTAGCAGCTACGACTTTGCCCTTTCAGGGAAGTAGCGGCTACGACCTTGACTCTTCAGGCAGTCTACGGCTACGACCTTAGAACTGTCTAGACTTCTACCCTACAGGTCTACGGTTCGAATCTCCTCTACCTAGTGACCTACGAAGACTTGCCTACCACTGGCGATCCTACAGGTCATGGGTTCAAATCTACGAGTGGACATCAATACTGTACACAGGTAAGATGGGGAACTGGGGATCGAGCCCCGGGATCTGCATTCGCTACTGCGAACTGGTGAATACCGTTTCACTCCCGCCGGCCTAAATTCGAGGTCCTCCGATAAAATTTCAGTCCAAGGCAGGACGTTTACCCTTCTGCTGTCTCTCGTAGGCCCGGACTATATCGGGAGCTGTCTCTAGAAGTTCAAATCTTGTAAACCAGCGGTCGTCTTCCAGTTCTTGATAGCTCAAATGAACCTTCTACTGTTTCTGTGGACGACCCCTACCTCCAGTTCTGAATACATCTTCAGCAACTATGCCATCGATGTCATACCTCCCATCCATATCGGGTGGAATCATAGGTCTACGGGATGGAAACTGATCACTCGTTTGACAAGGTAGTAACTTTGATGCGTGGAAACTGAGTAAGTGTGGAGGTGTGCTCGTAGCTCTATAGTGTAAGACGGTCCATCTTCGCGGCCCTTGACTTCCAGAACAGGCCACGACCCTCTATATGTGGGCAGTAACTTCTGCGAGATGTTCTCCTCAGGTGTAAACTCTTTAGAACTAACCGACTAAGTCACCTACTTGAAGTTGTGAAGGGCGACGATGTTTGTTCGCTTGTTCTATCATCCTATGCTGGGCTTTCCTGAGGTTTCCTACTACAGTACCCAGTTCTTTCTCGTGCTGTACAGCAAACTCCCTGGTCCCGGGCGACAATCTGTGAATCTGATCCCGGTTGAGTCCCTCAAACGGTCTGCGCGGTCTAAAGGACTTGTGCAGTTCGTTGGGAGTGCGGCAGGTGGCTAGATGCACGTTGTTATTGTATGCACTGGCTACTTCAGGCAGCATCTCATCCTAGTTAATTTGATCTGGCCTAATGTACATGCGCAGAACTTGCTGTAGGATCTTGTTCATTTGCTCTGTCTGACCATTAGTCTCTGGATGACGGCCGGACGACATCAACAATTTAGATCCGTATACTCCCATGAGTTCTTGCTAGTTCTGGCTAGTAAAGCGACTATCTCTATCGCCAACTATAGACAGTGGGATTCCATTCTCGCTCACCCAACAGTCGAAGAATCTCTGTATGACTAAATCAGTACGTGCCTCTGAAGGCAAAGGAACAAAAAC